TTCCGCATTCAGAATCGTTTGAGGCTAAGAGGATGGTATGCATCGTTGATGCTAGTCTTATCACCGAGGTGATTTTCGACGCATCCTGATCAAAAACGGCATTTCGCCTACCCTATTTGGATAGTATGCAGATCGTTGATTTTCTCCCAAGAACTGGAAGCGATCACAAAGCACAATACTTACATAAAGCCGAAAGCAAACTCATAGCTATAGATCGCGATAATAGCCTCCGATCCCCTAGTACCGAGTAACAGACCATGAAACCGGTCACGGTGTGTGGCTGGACATTTAGAGGAAGGGAAATGCCATCGTAAGCACGCATGCATGTACTTTGTACTTTCGGGCGCCGAGCACGGACGCAAGTATTCAGTGCAGGAGCGTCATGCCTCCGACTCATGGACTCATGACCAGCTGCTGCAGTCGGCGGTAGGAGCGTAAGACAAATAACGGGGGGGGGGGGGGGGAGGCTTGGCGCATCAGAAACCCTCCGAATGCTATATACCCTGTAATGATGGCTATATGTCCTGTCTAGCAGTACCAGGACAACCGCAAAGTCCTCGCCCGCTCTTTCTCCCCTCAACAAAGGCAAGCTCAACTCGATATCTAAAACAGTAGTAGAAGCAGCAGCTGTAAGTTTTCGTTCTCAATTTTTTCTTCTTCTTTTTAATCTGTTCCTATTGCTGGACAAGATCATGATAAACAAGATGGGATCACAGATGTTTCACTAGCTGCGCACTTCCTCAATGCTATCACTTACTTTCATCGAATTCCTGTTTACAACAACAGCTTCCCAACAAACCTATTGACCGCTGTGAGCTCATATCTGCCGTGGGCGCGTCTTTGGGAAGCAGAAACGCTCCACACCCAGCTAGCAACTCCCAGATTACACACGCAAGAAAAAGGAAGGGCGGGGCTCTGTAACTATTCCAGGATCATATATTGAAATGGGCGCGAAAGACGTGAACAGCTGGGTTCACTTTTGAGGCGCTACATGCCGTACCATGCCTATTGGCGTCAAGAGGACTCAATGATAATAAAAGGATGAGAGAACATCGACCTGCAAAATAATTAAGCTAACGTTGCGTCCAGGGAATAACACGCTGGAGATGATATCGTGTAAGTACTAGCAATATGCAAAGACAACGCAGACAGAGACAAAAGGATATGATACACAGGAGCGGATATATGTATGCCAGAAAAGAGAAGTTTCAAAGTCCAAAGACTTTAATCTATGCCAGATTTCTCTTGCTCAGTTGGTGACACAAGACCCGGAGACACAATCCGAAAGGAAGAAAAAAAAGGAGTATACAAGGGATCTACGAGTTCTTGTAAGCCTCCTGTGGAGAAATAAAATAAAAGGACCATCAATACACGGCAGAAGAAGGAAAAGAACCTCAGGAACGCACCTTAATCTCGTTCGAGAATTTGCCCGCGACATTCTTGCGCTGCACCTTTTGTGCGGCGGTAAGTAGCCCGCTTTCGGGTGTCCACTCTTCCGGCGTGAGCACAACAGCCTGCAAGAGCTCCATCGGCTTGAATTGGTTCTTCTTCCCCGCGTCATTGCACATCTTCAGCACGAGCGACTGCACGCTGCTGTCGAGGCACAAATCAGGCAGAGACTTGGACGCCTTCGACGAGTCGAGCGCTTGCCGAAGATGCCCCTCGTTCGGAATGATGATCGCGATCGGCTGCTTCGCATCTGTCGTTGCATGCACGCAGATGTTCGATACGAAGTTACACGACTTGTAGATAGACTCAAGCCGCTCGAGTGCGATGTACTGTTAATAAGATCAGCTTCAGGAAAGAATGACGGGCTTGCATAATTACACACCTCGCCACCTTGCAGCTTGATCAGATTTTTTATCCTTTGAGATTCTCAAATTAATCGAAGAAATGGTAGCAAAAAAATGAAGACAAACCTATCGATCAAACTGAGAGTACCATCACGATTCCACTGTCCCACATCGCCGGTACGCATCCATCCATCCTTCGTGAAAATCGTCTCGTCGTTGTTGAGGTCATCCCGCTTATAGTAACCTTTGATGACAGAGGGTCCGCGAATCAAGACCTCGCCTTGAGGCCGTTCATTTGTGGAATAGTACCCTATCTCGGGTACATCGAGTAGTTTGATCTCTGTTGATGGGACTGGCGCACCGACAGCGCCATACTGCATGAACTCGGGTGGCATAATGGCGCACATGCCACAGGATTCGGTCATACCATAACCTTTAATACGATGACCGTGAATTACATTGAATTCGCTAGGATAGAAATATGCTTACCTTGAAGTATTGTTACCAATGCGACACTAAGGAATTCTTGTGTTTCGCGACTTAGAGCTGCACCTCCGCTCAACGCCAGGCGAAGGCGACCACCAGTCTGTTGCTTGACCGCGCCCAGTACAACTGCGTCCATGACCTGCTTGAGGCCCGGAATGTTCGCCTTCTTTACTGCTATAGCACTTGAAAAAATGTTCTTCTTGACCGCACCAGACGTGTTGACCTTGCCCATAATGCCTTTACGGATCATTTCCCAGACCGCGGGAACACCAACCATGATGGTCGGCTTGAACTCTCGGAGGTCTCCAAGACATTTGCGCACGGAGGCATCCGTGAGGGTCTTGACGCGACCGTAGCCGATAGTCATTCCGACGAAGTAAAGTGCAAGTTCGACGATATACTCAAGAATGTGTGCGAGTGGCAGATATGCAAGAAATGAGTCCTCGCGTCCGAGATGGTGCCCAAGTAGATTGAATATAGCGCCAACAGACGCAATTAGGTTCGAGTGTGTGATCACGACGCCCTTTGGCGCGCCTGTTGTGCCACTCGTGTACATGATGCACGCGACGACGTCACTCGTGGGGACACGACTCGGGTCACCGGGCTTTCCCTTGCCGAGCTGGCGAAGCTCATCGACGCTCAGGATACGTAGGTTCTCTCGCGTTGACTTGAGCTCATCGAGCACTTTGCCTTTCGGCTCGCCGTCATAGACAATGATCTTGACAGATGGCGTGTTCACGAGCACACGGGCGAGGGTCGGGAGAAGGTCCGCATTGGTGAAAATGCCGACACAGTTTGGTTCGTTGAGGGAGTGCGTGAGACCAGCCTCGCCGAGTGTGTCATATGCAGTAGCAATGATGGTGGAGATCGAGATGCATGCATGTGACATGAGCTGCCAGTTCAAACTACGAAAACTATTAATCACAGTTGAGTTAAACTCAGAGAAACTTACGTTGTCGCCGAGTAAATGTTGAACACCTCGTCCTTAGCGACGCCGAGCTCTACGAGGCCAGCGGCAATCTCATCGGCAGCCTCCTTTACCTCGACATAACTGAGGTACTTGTATTCGCTGAGCTGGAAGTACTTCCACTTCTTTTTCTCAACGACTTCCTTCCCGCCGACGATCTTCTTGACGTCCTTCTCCTCCTCATGAATTTCGACAATGTCTCTCCATCCACACGCGTCTTTTGTTCCGTGCGTGCGTGCGCAGTACTTGAGAACGTCATAGACGGTCTCGATACCGTCGAGCGGCTGAGTGATGAGGCTGTCCTTATGGACAGCATTACGACGTGTGGCGGTTTCGCCGGGCTTCGGGTGTTCCTCGACGGAGACGGATGCGACGCGAACACCGTTGACGGTTGGCCACTTGGGTGAGGGTTTGCTCATGGTGAATGTGGAAAGAGAGTGCGAGGCGAAGGCAGGAGGGGCGAGTGCGCAGTTGCGGAGAGTGATGACACGCGAAGACGGTCACGCGCATCACGCGCCACGACCGGCAGGGAACATTCATTGTACACGTCATCGGTGGCTTACCCTGCCTCTCCTGTACATGCTGTAAGTATTTCTGTCCAAAAAAAACATAGAGAAAATCTCACTTCCTGTTGAACAATGAAGGTTTTGCACAACCTACATGTATCTCGTCAATGACGATTGAAGATTATCGTCGTCGGCTATACATGATTAGCGCTAGCCGGTCCGATTCAGAGCATGATTATGTTTCTGAGACAATCATCTAAATCGTTTATGTCGGTGGAATTCATACATTTATTTCGATGTTTTGACATACGTAGCAGACCAAAAACTGGGACTCGAGGGGACCTAACTGGTGTGCTTTCCGTATTTTATTGTTCAACATGACTTCATGTCACTTTTTCTTCCCTCCCAAGTTCGCTGAATTTCTTAAAGCCATGTCGTGAATGGCAAAAAATGACAGTAGATCTAAGACGACAGCGACAAATATTGCCCAAACTCAAAGGACATCCCTTCGGGTAACTGATCCAGATAGATTGCTTCTCGTTCTTGTCTTTCAACTTCCTCTAAAATCGGGAATGTATCGATGCAGGACATACGTTGCAAGCCTTGAGGTGAATTGCATTCATACAAAAGCCAAAATTACGTGCGGGAGAAGATCCAAGCATCAGGCCGAGCATCAGGGTGCGTTTCTTGATGGTTTGAAGATATGCGTATGAATGCATCACACACATAGAAACACACTTTATCGATAACCGGACGGTTTCCATCGTGTTCACCGTCCTTTCTTTCGCGCCCTATGCCGGCAGACCGTCATACTTCACTCGCACGTCGCACATGCGAGGCTAGCTCATCTTCTGGCACTCATGTGAGGGTCCAGAGAAGTTGCCCCGAGTGTGGTTAAAGCACTTCTTGATCGCCTTACCCTCGGTTGCAGTAGTTATCAGCCTTTTGAGTTGGGCTTCGTCTTGCAGCCAAAATGCAGATCGCGTCAGATAGAGGTAAAATCTCGACTCTCAGGTGCTCAAATCTTGTCGGTGTTCGGATTGATAAAGTTAGGGCAAGCTCCCAAAGCCTATGTGATGATGAGCAGAAACCATTGCACGATATAATTATAAGTAGCTAATTCAATTATCGAGAGCCATACTTCGGTTTTCTTAATTTATTGACTCTAAATCTATTTACTAGTTCCTAACATTTGCAAAGCAGCACGAGATGGGCTAGATAACCATCCAGTTTAGTATATAGCATAGCCTCTAGATAGCTCAGTTGGAAGAGCATGAGACTGTAACGGAAGCTTAATTTGTAGCTATCTCAGGGTCACCGGTTCGATCCCGGTTCTGGAGATCTTTATCTTCTTCATTTATATGAAGACAAGAACTAAAACTTTTTTCTCTTCACTAAGGGAACAAGATCACGGTCTAATATGATCTAGTAAGAGTTGGAATGGTTTCGACGAGCATGGACTGTTTGGTATATTAGTTCCATACCCTCAACATGTTCAATGTCGCTTCGCAAACCCTGTAGGACCGTTTCTACTTGCACGGCAGTCAACCCGGACTCAATGAACAATCCACGAAGCGAGTCACCAAAGTCCAACGTCATCCGTTTTGCACGGTTTCCGAGATTAGAGTCGTCCAACGCCACATGATGCTGTCGCGTGACGACCTGCTCGAAGTTGCCGTTCGTCGTGAGCAACTGCGGGATTCGCGCCGTGTCGGAAAACAGCCTGCGTCGATTGACGAAGTTCGCAACCGATTGAAAGAACCGAGACATGCCACGTGCGGCTGTGCGCGCTTCGGAGCCGTCATCCATACGTACTTCGCACACCCACTCGCCGGAAAGGAAGAGGCCTCCAGGGCACAAAACGCGCGCGACCTCGCGAAGGACCGCGGGATAATTCCTGAGCTGTGCATTCGACATACCATGAAACTTCAACGTTTAAAGCGGATAGAACGGATAAAACATACGGCTAGATTAACGTGCCTCATATGAACGAGATCGAACCTTCCCTCAGCCCATCGCAGCGGCTCGGCGTTAATGTCGTGAACTTCGTATTGGACATTTTCTGCAGGGTACCGTGTCGCTAGTGGCACTGGTGAATTTCAGTAAAACGACATAAATCGTGGACGGAGAACGCACCTATGTCAAGGCCATACACCTTCACATGAGGAAACTCGGCGGCCATCTCATCCACCCTGTTGAGAACTGAGCCTTGGCCCGTGGAAGTAAACGAGGCGGACGTCACCATGTTCCGTTTCCAGTGCAGATATCCAAGGCACGCACTCTACGTCCTTCGTCAGAGGTATTCAATGTGTTTTGCACGGGTCCACAGTAGTTGCGCCCATGCAATAATGTCTTGAGGAGCTCGTGAACGCGGTCTGACCTCTTATAATCGATCAAATGACGGGTGAGATCTGAACACAAAGTGAGCTTACCTGCCCTTCTAGCTCGTCTACGGGGAGAGGATACGGTAGGGGGCCGTTACCATGGGAGTGGAAACGACGATTGTGTATCTCAACGAAATATTCTTCGATCTCGTCAGTGCTCATGCTAGACACCGAGTCCGACGAGTCGTTATCCGAATCGCTGTCGTCAGGAGGCATAGCTCCGTTGACCCTATGTAAGAGGCCTTGATTCCCGTTGTTCATTTGTCGGATGTTGGTCCCCGCGGCGCAACAGAAAAAAATACAAAACGACTCGAGGTAGAAGGGGATGGACTTAATCGGACTCAGAAGTGCTGGCAGATTCAGCTTATCAGGTTTTTACGGGAGTGCGAAGCTGAATCTATCGGATCTTCTTCGACGATTAAATTGACACCCACATGCTTGACGGGTGTCTGGGCAGATAGACTATCATTCAGTGAAAGGGGGAGAAAGCGGACAAAGGTGCGCAGGTTAAGGCGATTCGAAGACGCGGTTAAGTGCTGGTCGACAGGAATTAGGTCCGTGCTTCTTTTCAGGGCAAAACGAGAGCACCTCTGCTACATGTCATAATCGATATGGGTGACGTTGTGTGCTAAGACTGGGAAGATGTTGACGACAACTGGAAGTTTCTTCCATTCTGCAGTGTACAGTTTCGAGTGCACAGCAAATGAAGATAACATCAGCGAGTCACATGGCTTAGAAACGTCGGACGGGCATGAAAGCTTGATTCCTGAACGTTTTGACGATCCCACAGTTCATTGAAGCTTGCTGATAACTTTGTTTTTGTTTTTGACCACAGTGTCCCGAAGCAGCGCCAGGAAGACAAGTCAGAGCCCGAAGAACGAGAAATTGTGAAATTCCGACATGTAGCATGTATATTGACTCTTTTCAAAAGTTTCCTTGATGTCAAGCAGCCCGAAATAAAAGTGACAGGAAGAGAGTTTCGCCTAAAGTACGGAGTTTGTAGTTACGCGTCTTTCTCACGGGGTAGATCGCGTTCCGATGCCACTCTGACACAACGGTGGAGACACAAGTTGACTTCCTACCATAACGATCGGACTCATCCTTTGCAGCGCTGCATCGTTGATTGTGTTACAAGGCCCGCGATTCATCAAACTCTGCAAACATATATTCTGATATGGACGACGCGGCGGACTTGAATCAACTCGTCGCGCAGCACCAGACACTAGCAAACATGTCAGATGAAGATATTGATGAATATGAAGCACGGGCACGAATGAGTACAAAGAGGTATGCCATAAATAAACCAACAATTCTGTCTGATACTCTATTAGTACTTATCGCTGACTTTCACGATTAATTTAGGAGGAAGCTATGGAAATCAGACGAAGAGCCTGCCAGTTCTTCGCGGTCGCATTTAATTGAATCACTAAGCAATCCTCTTCCTCGTGCCTCTTCTACGGAAGCGCACTCATATCCTACGGAACGAAAGAGCCGGTGTGTGTTCACACTCCCAGTCAATAGCGTGAAATTATCTACTCGTGTTTGTTCATTTGTGCAGAGACACTAATTTTAAAGAAGGACAGACCGCTTGTGGCAAATACTCCACAGATGTGAAATCTGACGGCTTCGAGATGGACGCCGTATCGCCGTCAGTGCCAGATAGCGCAGATACATCTCCGACCGTTCGGTGCTTCTTCCTGTCTAATTCGTCGAGTTCCTGAACTTGCTGATTTTTTTTTCTCCCTGAATTCAACTTAGGGTTCGCCCGGCTGCATTTGAAACTTCTGGGTCGAATATTCATAAACGCTCAAGAAATGCCGCTCTCTCTGGTCACAAGCAAACGCCGCCTTTGTCTGCCGTCATGCCGTCTCTGACTTCTCATAAGCCGACAGATGGTGTCAGTGGAAACACAGATCTTCACCTCCTAGATCAGCGGACCCGTCCCACGCATTCAGAGCTTCGATTATCGGAGTCCGCACGATCTTCGAAGAACCAACAAAATAGTCCGCGAAAAAAGGTGCTCAAGCAGAAGCCTTCTGACTCTGATAAGCCGAATCGCTCTGTAGATAGTAATGTTACATCACCTTCGACGACTCCTCAGGCTTCTGCTTCACGCAGAACGACAACAGGGAGGCCGACGTTGCAGCCAGATCGACAGGCGAAGAGAGCGGAGAAGGCAAAAAAGGCGGCTGAAACTCTCGCCCAAGAGCAGGAAGTCATTGCGGAAAAGAAAATGACCCCTAGAGAGTATGCTGAAAAGGTAAAAACAAAGTTTGGACCTTTGCTGGAGAAGACACCTCCGTCGAAATTATTCTTGAGGGACAAGGTTATTTTTTATGTAGGCGGTGACCTTGAATTAGCATCAAGCAGCACGCGGGCAAAAATGGACTTCGTACGTTTATCGACGCATTATATACATTTCCCCTTTCCCCTAACTTGAACTCGTAGCTTAGGAAAAAGGGAGCTACCGTTCTTCCCACATACGACCCTGATGTCGTAACGCACATCGTGATTGACAAGAGGGCGAAAGGTTCGACGCTAAAAGCCCTCAAACTAAACTCGCTCGATGAGATCCCGGACTACATACCGACAGTGACTTGGGATTGGGTCACTCCCGGACATGCTCCGGTCGAGCATGAATTTATGTTTTCAGCCTTCGCGGATCGGATGGACTCCGACTCTCGCAAGGCGTCCGCTAATCGAAACGGTAGGGGGAAGGGGAAGGCCGTTGCCGCTCCACAGCCCGCTAGTTTCGCGGGTGATGAATTCAGTCGCATCGAGTACGTATATTTGATTCAATTAAATATTAAGTTATGCTTCGGTTTGACAGGTGGTATCAGGGACTTTACCGCAACTGAGCACAAGGTTGCACTTGAAGACGCCCCCGAATTTCAATTGAACAGCGATGCGCACACGACGTCTTCAAAGGCCGTGCTTCCTTCTGGCTTTACTAGACACGACGCCGCCAACGATCCGCTTGCAGAATTTTATGCCCAGGCTAAGAAGGATATAGACACTGAGGTCTGTGGCAAGGCTCTCAACGTGGACAGGAAGTTCTGATCAATACCAGTGGATAAACTCTAGTGAGCGCGAATCTGAAGGAGGTTCGCCGCCTCCGGAGAAGGGCATCCGGAAGCCCGTACGTATATCGGATTGTAAATATCTCAAGTTGTATTTTGTTTTCCCGACATATTTTATCTCAGGCTTTCACCTGTGACCAAAAAGGTGTTAATGTCGGACAATGTGTCAATCAAGATATCGTAGACAAGGTCCGTATTCCTTCCCAATTTTTTATTTGTTACCGCCTAACATCCTTCCAGCTGACCGAGCTTATGGAGCTGCACCAATCCAAGCTTTCCAAAGATGACCGCTGGAGAGCATTCAGTTATGCCAAATGTAAGCGCAAGACCAAATTGCGAGTGGTCTGTCTCTAAGACTAATACGTTTGTCACCAGCCATACGTGCAATTAAAAATTACCCGACTAGAATACAATCGTTCAGCGAAGCAAAAGCAATCAAGGACGTTGGAGAGAAAACGGCACGAAAGGTGCGAACGTGCTTTTGACGAATACGACGCAATCCCCTCTCACTTGACTTACCATGAAATCAGATTACGGAGATCATCGAAACAGGAGCACTTAAAAGAATTGAGTATGAGAACACCGATGATGTTCGAGCTATGGCCATTTTCAAAGAAATATATGGCGTCGGTACGCTCCTTGCTGAGTTTGAATACCTGATGCCGCTAAACTTGATTAGGGCTCAACACTGCGCATAATTGGTATGCAGCGGGATGCAGGACTCTGGAAGATATTAAACAGAGAAAAGGAGGGATTCAAGTCACTTATGTACAGGAGGTTTGCAAATCCGGCGGATTTAAAAAGTTGCATCTGACGTCTTTCATTAGATTGGCCTTAAGTATTACGACGGTGAGTCCTTCCGTGTGATATTAAGTAC